ACACTCCCTTCTCCATCTCACCTTGTGTACAAGGCATCGAGAAAATGACCACCAAGGCACGATTTTTACTTACTTATTTATTTTTATTTTATGTTTAGACTGTTCTGCCTGCACATATGTCTGTGTATGTGTACCATGTCTGTACCTGCTGGGAGTAGAGGTCAGGAGAAGGTTTCAGATCCTCTGGAATGGGAGTTATAGAGGACTGTTTGCTACCTACCATGTGGGTGCTGGGAATGGAACCCCAGTTCTCTCCAGGTGCAACAGGTGCTCTTAATCGCCGAGACACTGTCTCTCCAGCCCTGTGAAAACACTTTCTAAAACAGCAAGCTATCCTGGCAATGCCAACCCTCCCAGGGTCCTGCAAATTCTTAGAGGTCCGGTCTGACACCCGATGACGATGTTCATCCCTTGGGCCAGGCCTGAAGGTCTAGGACAGCCCGCTGAGACAGCACTGTACAGATTGTAGCAAGGAGGGCATCAGGTCTTCTCACACACTCTGACCGTGCTGAACATGTAATCATGGAAATCACAGCCTCTTGAGGTTCTATCTTCAGTGCTGGCTCAGCAGCCCAGAAGCTTGTAATCCACCATCAGATAGCCCATCTCCCAGACAGTCCTGTTCAAGCTGAGCTTGTGCTTACTCGGCACTAACCTCACACAGAGACCACTGTCAGGAGGAAAGAGGCATCCATGGACAGAGTCTGGGGGCAACTGGCAGAGAAGAGGTTAAGGAGAGACCCAGACAGCCATCTTAGAAGAGACTGAGTACTCAAGGTTGCTCTGGAAAGCTTTAACACCACCAAAATAAAACAAATTTGATTGTTGCGTTGTTACTGAAATGGTTGAGGATCTCAGTATGGTGGTACACAGCATAGGATGGGCCCCAGTAGCACCATCTGAAACTCAAGTACAAAACTGGTTCCTGTTGTTTGCACTGTGGGAAGACAAAAAAGCGGTCATCAAAGGTAGAACCAGGCATCTTCGTGGAGCCTTGTGTAACTTCACTTGGACTTCCGCTTGGGAAGTGATACAGGAGGTGATAGTTTTTAAAATTAAAATTACATTTATTTATTTATTTACGTGTCTGTGTGTGGGATACATACTTATGCCGTGGCACAACATGTGTACAGAGGTCAAAAACAATGATAAGAGTCCAGTTGCTCCTGATCCCAGGGGGTCCCAAGGACAGAGCCCAGGATGCCAGGCTTCGCAGCAAGTGCATTTGCCTGCTCAACACCACACCAGCCCCAACTAAGTTTCCTTTTTATTTTACTTTGCTCTTTATTTGATACAGGGTCCCACTGTGAATCCCTGGCCAGCCTAGAACTCCCTATACAGGCTAGGGTGACTTAGGATTTACAGTGATTTGTCTGCCTTCCAGATTCTAGGATTAAAGGCGTGTACCTGGCAAGGTTACAGACATAATCAAGGGCCTGCTGCTAAACTTTTAACAGATACAAACTACCCCGTGTTATACCTTTCTGGTCTATATTCATTCTAAGGCTTAGGAGAATGCAACTAATCAGTTTAAATTATACTGAAAATCATTCCAAAGAGTTAGGGGATTGGACCAGGCTGCAGGAGGGGCTCTGGCTACAATCCGCAGATACAAAGGGATGGATGTGGGAGGGGTGGTGTGAAGTTGGAAGCTGGGAAGCCAGGCCTTTCTGACAAGATCTGAGGAGCTAATTGCAGTCTGTGGCATCATGTCCTACATCATTTGGTACCAGTGGTTTTATTTATCTCCTTTCAAATAAGAGCCAGTCTATGCTCAGGTAGGAGGCTGAGGCCACAGAATGTGGGTGGAAAGAGGGGAGAACAGGTAGCAGGTGGAAGAGGAGACAAACAGTTACTTCCCTGGCACTCAGAAAACCTCAGTAACTACTGCCTTCCAGCCTAGAGGTGTCACTGCAGGTGGAAACGACTTGAAGGGCAATCAAGGGGTGCTTGAATAATGAACACATGCTGAAGGCCAGGCAGGCCCATGATGTTAGACTCGGGATGGACCAGACAGTTCCAACAGAGTAGGTGACTCCTTGACATCAGGCTACACTGTCCTGGGGAAAGGGAAGAAGGAACTTCTGACAGAGAGAAGTTAAAGCCAAGAGAAAGCAAGTGTCAAGTTTCTCAGGTTTGAACTTCCAATCCATGCATCCTTTGGATTTGCACTTTTGCTATCTGGCTTCTGAAGGAAGAATGCATTTCACTTCTGCTTCAGTGACATCAAGCCTTAATGTGGACCCTGTAATCCCAAGGGGCAGGGAATAGCTCTCCTGAACAAGGGCTGCCTCTGAGATAAGTTGAGGTTTGGTCTGTTGCTATGTATTGTAATGCTAAATTCTGTAGGTCTAGGCCTATGAGTGAATTCTAACTTTTACCAGCTTTTGTTATGCAAGCCTTGTTCCTTGATTTAAAACTATTGGTTAAATAAAACTGGCTCCAGCCAGTTACTAGAGGAATTAGAGGTAGGTGGGTTTGGTGTGACCGAGTTGGAGGAGGAGAGAAGAGGAAGGAGGAGAGAAGAGAGGAAGCTGCCATGAGGGGAGAGAAACCATGAGCACATGGCCAGGAGAAACAGCAAGTATCTGGGGAGGCAGCCAGGCCAGCAGTTAGAAGAGTAGATTAGGGGTTACTCCCAGCAATTGTCAAAGCCAAATAAAATAATCATAGTCTGAGTCTCACTGACTTGTAAGTTAGTCAGGGATAAGTTTAAATTGATTGTACTACAGAGATACTTAGCAGAACTGTTACCCCAATCCTGCTTGTTGATTAAAAATAATTATCCTTAAAGATTTTTAAAAATTGTGATTATATGTGAGTGTGTGTGCCCATGAGTACAATTGCTCATTGAGGCAGAAGAGGGCGTTGGACCTTTCGGAGCTGGAGTTACAGGCATTTGTGAGCTGCCTAGTGAAGGTGTACATAACTCCTGAGGACCAGGCTTCAGGAGTGGGTGCTTCTAACTTCAGAGCCATCTCTGCAACCCCCAACTTGTTAATACTTGTTAATTCCCTCCTACTCCCAAACTTGTTAATACTCATTTCATTTCAACCTGCTTAGGGTGAACAGACACAACCCCATAGAATTTAAAATGGCCCAGTTTCTATTTTCATAAACCATGGGTCTGGGAGAGTGGCTCTTTCTACAGGCTGGGTCTCCCTGTGCCTCAGGCAGGTGTCCTTGCATTCTACCCTACCTTCCTCTTGGCTCCCAGGTGTCCCATTTGAGGTGTCCTATAGGTGGAGCTGGTGCCAAGGGGCTTGTGTGTTTATTTAAGCTGTAAACTCGGGGGAAATGATGGTAGCAACTTTTAACCACTTGATCCATCACTCCTACACGGTAGCTAAAGGATTAACATTCCCTTCTTAATCAGACCCTGCAGATGGGTGACAGGAGGGTTGTGACTCTTCAGGTAAAGGTTAACCAAGTGTCTCCAAAGCTTTCTCTGAGGAGGTCTGGTTAGAAGCTCTTTACAGGAGCCACGGTTATAACAATTTATGATATTAGGAAAGGAGGCACAGGATTCACAGACTTGGGAGATAAGCAGGGAACCAGGGAGCCATTTGCAGGCCCCAACCCTTCCTGCCACTTCTAGCTCCAAAATGTCTCTCCTGGATGTATCCAGTTGTCCCCCTCTCTGCCCTGGATGGAGCATCACATCTGCCCTGTTAACGCTGTTGGCATCAGGAACTGGATCTACAGTCACGGGTCACCTCTGAATCCACCGATGACAGTGATGTCACCCCTAGGTGACCATGAAAGGACTCCTACGTCTGTTGCCAGGGCAATCACCATACATTTCCAGTGTCCACCTGGTCCACCTGCCCACCTTTACCTGTGCCAGTGGTGCTCGCGGTTACATCACAGCCCAAATAAAAGGCAGATGCCCCCCTGACCTTCGCTCTTTCCTTCTTCATCGCCCCCCTTTTGTTCTTACCCCTCAGTAAACCTCTCTCCCGTGGAACTGTGCTGGCCTGGTGCAATCTGTCCAGAGGAGCCGCCAACCTAACACAACAAACGCAGCCTGCTTACTTCTCCCTTTTGGTCTATTTTAAGTTTGAGAAAATTCTTCATCAGTGACTAAAAGCATTTACATACCGAAAGGCAGCTTTTCATAGGCATTGCTACTCAGGGAGCCCAATCATTTAAAAGCAGCTCTGTTGTGATGGTTAAGATATTGAGACCATATCAGGGGTTCTGTAAGCTCTAGCTGGTGGGCTCATGGTGTATTTTATTGTTGGGTTTATTTTTGTGTGTACTCTGTGTGCCTGTATTCTGGTTTGTGAGTGGAAGGGTATGCATGCACACATGGAGAACAGAGGACAACCTCGGGTGTTGTCCCTGCCTTCTACCTTGTTTGATACCGGGTCCCTTGTTCACCACTAATATGGCAGGCTAGTTGGGTACAGGCTTCTGAGGACACTCAGGTCCCTCCTCTGTACACAGGAGCAATGGTCCAGATGTATACCACCAAGTCCTGCTTTATGAACTCCAGATTTAACTCCAGATTCTCATGTCTTAACTGTGAGTGCTCTGCTCAGTGAGCCATGGTCTCTCTGTAGCCCAGGCTGGCCTCGAGTGCTGGGATTGCAGACGTAAGCCACCACACCTAGATTCTTATAAGCAGTTTTAAACATTGAAGCTCCTCATTTGCTTCTCTTTGCTCCTGGGCCACTTCTGTGCTAAGAGCTGAGTTAACACTCACAATCTAGCTCTGTCAAGAGAAAGTCTGCTAACTTTCTGGATCACAATGAAGATCACAATTTGAATAAGATAAAATAACTAATAATAATAATAACCCTGAGGCAGGGATGTAGCTCAGTCGGCCGTCTCCGCCTAGCATGTTGGAGGGCTTACACTCAAGCCCCAGTACAAGTAACAGCACTAGGTGGTTCTCAAGGAAAACAAGTCAGTCAAAGGCACTGTAAGCAGATGTCCATTCATTAAACCTTTTAAACACTTTATGTCCTAGTACCACATTTAGGCCACACAAGATATAAAGGGTTACAAATATTCAGATTTTATTATAAATAAAATACTGTTTTCTTTTTTTAAACATAAAAAATGCCAAGTGTTGCGCTTTAAAATTAACCTCCCTGGGGGAAGACTGTAGAGTTTAAGGCAAACAACTAAAGTGAAGGCACATTGGGAAGAGCCACAGTTGGAATCAAAGGGAAATTCCATGGGGGGGGGCAGGGCGGGGAATAAAACCATCTGTTCCTTGTGATACCCGGCATTCTACAGCAGCCATTCTGTCCATTTTATTACATAAAATACAGATTACTGGAACTATACAATGAAGCAATGGCTGCGTCACAGGAGTGTAATAAGATATCATCTTATAAACTTTCATTTTTAAAAATAAAATTCTGTTTAAAAATATACCACAAAGATGGAGAGGACAAACCAAAACACCCCACCCACCAGCGCCTAGGACCTGCTGGAATAGTGTTGACCCAAAGGATGCTGGAAGTCTGTTTTAGCCATTTTCTTGCAACTGTGACCAAAATGTTAAGGTGGTGAGCTCATAATAGAGGAACTAGCCAATCAGCACTGCACTTGGTGAGGCCGCACCTCTGCAATAGCAGAAAAGGCCTTGGAGGAGCAGAAGCGCAACCTCAGGGATGCCTAGCTGAGACTCTGTGATGATCTCCGTATGCCCAACAGAGATGGAGACAGGCTGAGCAGAGCCCTCCTCTCTCATCAGCAGCACTGTGCCGACGCCCTCAAGTGCTCAGTCATCACATGCTCCCCTACAAAACTGACCCGCGTGGCAAGGTTCCCTCAGCAAACTTTCCTAATCCCTTTACCCGGTCGGCTTGGCTACAGCTCCAGGGCAGGCACTGAGAACTGCATGGAGCTGCAGCCCAGATGGTCAGAGCTACGGGGAAGAGGGACCTCTTTGGTCAGGCAGTGTTTGAGCAGGCTTCCTGTCAAACAGTGAAGGTGCTGCAAACACAGGCAGAGGCAGAGCAGAACACTGGGACCAGGCATGACTCAGAGAGGGAGGGAAGGGAGGAGGCGTACAGCTTTCTGTGCCAGAGACGGAAAACTGAGCAGAGACGTGAGCAGACAGTGCCATTCTAGGAGGACTGGGAATATTTACATAAATTCCTTATTCTATAATCATGATAAACAAAATCCATTCACACAAAAAATATAAATTTCAAATAATTAATAGCACCAGTGTGTCAGATAATAGTTTCTTTCCCCCGCTACGCAAAGTACAAAATTGCATAGTGTTAAAGGCTAAATATGAATCTCAGAGACAGGCAGGTAGGAAGAGGGGCGTGTAGCAGGGAACTGTCACAGTGTGGTCTTAAGGAAACCACAGAGCTGAGGACCAGAGGTTGAGAAGCCCACTAGGAAATGCCATGCATGGACCTTCCCTCTCCACACAGAGGAAAGGCTTAGAGTGGGCGGAGCCACAAAGTGCAGGAACTAGATGGGGTTGGCTGCCTTGAGAAACACTGAGAGCAGCGTTTGCCACCAGGATCTGGCAAACAATGATGTGTTTTGAAGAGTTCTAGAAAGAACGGAAACACCAGAAGAGAACTGGAGCTGAGGGCCAAATGTTACATCCCAATTCCATCCACTTCCCAGAAAATATGGGGAAAAGATTTGCTCTTCTTTCATTGGTCAAGACCTTAGAGGACAACTGTTTTGATAGATATCTTAACAATAGTTCCAAGACTAACACACTAACAAAGCTCCAAGAATTAGTAAGACTTGGGGAAAAAACTTGAGTGGTTATCACATCTCTGTCTCTTCTGCATTAAGTCCTGTTTATAAAAATATCAAAAGCTACCTAGTGTAGTGGTGTGTGCAAGCTGCCCATCCAGACTTTTTATCAGCTGCCTGAGGGTTTGGAAAACGTTTATCTTCCTAGTCAATACAGGAGAAAATCCTAAGCATCTTTGAGCCATGTTCTCTTGGAGACCCATACGTAACTACACTATACCCACAATGGCTCAGTGTCCTATGCTCAAACAGCTACATGACCAATATCTTTGGCACAGGGTGTTTATTTCCTTTTGTTTCAAAGAGGAGGCAGAAGATGCAGACTGGACATACTGGCCATCTCAATGCTACGATGAGGCGCCAAACATTTCCTTCATAGAAATATGAGTACTGAGATAGGTCCTGCTGGTGTTGAGAAAGGGAAGGGGGCTGGGTTTGCCCTGGCATAAAAAGGTTCACATGATGTGGGTATGCCACTGGAAGATGCTGTGACTTCAGGCAAACAAGGAAAGTTCTGGTAGGGTGCTGACAGGAGTGGAGGACAGACTTTATTAGGCAGAACCCTTTGTTCCTGGTTAAGGATGTTTAACTTGCTTCTCTTTAAACTCTGACTTTTCTTGGGTCAAAAGGACAGTGATGGAGAGCAGCAGAGAAGTGGGGGTCTGAAAAGTGTAATTTTTGTGTCAAGGCACCGAGGCCTCACAGGGCCCCCTGTCAGGGACGCTGCCTTACAGCCCTTCTGAGGCTAGGGCTTCTCGATGGACGGGGTGTTAAAGCAGCCGGTCGGTAGGGTCTTCTTGATGTCCTCCAGGTTGTGAATGTCCTTGATGATCTCCTCTATGTCTCGGTTGTAGTCCATGATGGCTGCCTCCTGCTTCCGGGCCTCATTTTCTAGATCAGATACCTTTCTGTCCAGGTCGCTGACCTTCATTTCATCTTTGGCTTTGTTCAGGGAGCCTTCGATCTCATTGAGCTTGTTCAGGTCCACTGTGTCCAGCTGTCCTGTAGACAGGAAGTGCACAGAAGAGAATGAGCTCATTCCGTGAGAACTGGAGCTTGACTCCTAAGTGCTTTGTCATGAGCTAAGGCCAGCAGCTCCTTGATGCAAAGGTGGCCTGACATGCAGGCGCTGCGGCGTTCAAGGGCCTGAGCAGTACTGATCTACACAGCAGAGGTGGGCAGAGTGTATCATTAATACTAGAACAGATTTTTTTTTTGAGACAGTGTTTTCACAGATATTTTAATTTTTTAATATTTATTACTTATTACTGTGCTTGTATGTGTACATGCATGTCTGCACGAATGCTGTAGAATGTATGTGGAGGTTAGAGGACAACTCGCAGGACTTGGTTCTCTCTTTCCACTATGAGGGTTCCAGGGATTGAACTCAGGCTGTCAAGCCTGGCAGCTAGTGCTTGTACCCACTGAGCCATCTCTCCCGCCCTCAGAGGATGTGTTTCTAAATGCAGGAGCGCCATGTCTTAGACCTCGCTTATACTGAAGAAGGTGATTTAGTAAGACTCAACCCTCTGTAGGTTTCTATGTGTAATCTGTGGACCATTTCAGTATCAGGTAGAAGCAAACATCCTCAACTCCTAGGTTTCAGGGAAGATGGGCTAGTTTGGGGGGTTACTTCCTGCTTGTAAGAGTTAGACACCACTAGGAACCTTCTGATGGAAAACAGCCAAGGTTGAAATGCCAAGGTAATGCAAGCAAAGTTTCGCTCTAAATGTAGCAAGGAAAAAAAAAAAATCAAAGTTTCTTTTGGAAGAAGATGCTCTACGGAACATGAAATCAGAAAATGGAGCAGTTTCCTGAGCCCAGTCTGCCTCACCGACTCTCAGATGGTCAAGAATTATCTGCATGCATTTGTACAACCTAACAGATGAAGCAAGGTGTAAAGCCCCTGCTTTAGACTGCTTCTTTCTAGGCTCGTCTGCAAGCATATAATTTATTATTAGTGGTCTCCGAGACAGATAAAATATTATTCCTCTCCCCTCTCAGAAAACAAACAAACAAACAAACAAACAAAAAACATAAAAAAAAAATCCCCAGTCTTCAGCGGCTACATGACTCTCTCATAATGGAGCCCTGTGACAAAAGGACGTAGGTCCTAAAAAGGATCCGCTCTCTGCCAAACTGGGTCAAAATGAGAGCTCAGTGTGCTTATAAGTCCTTGAAAACAAAATAAAACAAAGTTTTGCTCTCTTTTGGTGTGAAAATTTTCACTTCATCAAATTGTTCTTTGTTTGGGAAGTGAAGAGAATTCTGAGCTCTGAAGTGCAGTCAGCTTCAAGTACCGTTTTATTCTATCATTGAGATTTTCTTTTCAAATCCCTTAAAGATGTTCCACCAGCGGGCGGAACTAAGGGGAAATGGCTGTTTAATTGCATGCTGGACCTTGGCCACAGTGGCACCCCCAGCTGTCGGCTCATCTTCAAAGGTGAAGACCATGGCGTCTTCCTTGGTGCTGAGTCCAGGGAAGGCACCTCCAGTACTTTCCTATCCACTTTCACTCTAGAATGGACAGCCTATCAGTGTTGCAACAATGCAAGCTGCCCTTACAAGGTTCTGCCAAGCAAGACACAGCAAAAAAAGCGAACATTTTTAAATAAGCAAGAACTAAACGAAACATTAATATGGATGTGTTAATGAATGCTTTCAGAGAACTCCCACCAATGTGCCTCTGAACCAGTGGACTCAGACCTGTGAGCGGTGGCTGCACCAACTCTTCTGTTACTTACCCAGCTGCTCCAAGAGGTCGGTCAGCTGGCTAAGGAGGCTGGTGACAGAGTTTTTGGCCTTTCTGGCATTGAGGTCAGCTTCCTGAGCAGCCTGCGAAGCCTGCAGTGGAAGAAGATAAACAGCATGAATACTTCTGACTCTGTGTTTTCTTCTTCTCTAAATATTTTTCTCCAGTGAGCCAGCAGGTCTATTTTCAGATATGTCCCTCTTTTCTTTTTTTTTTTTTTGGTTTTTCGAGACAGGGTTTCTCTGTATAGCCCGGGCTGTCCTGGAACTCACTCTGTAGACCAGGCTGGCCTCGAACTCAGAAATCCGCCTGCCTCTGCCTCCCGAGTGCTGGGATTAAAGGCGTGCGCCACCACCGCCCGGCTTGTCCCTCTTTTCTTAAGTGATGAATCAGAGTCTCTCTCACTGCAGGGTTTTGGGGGGTGAGATCTTCAGGTGGAGGATGTTATTTCTACTGCATAGAACAGTATATGCTCTTTTTTTTTTTGAGACAGACTTACAATGTAACCTAAGCTGGTCTCAAACACAAGATCCTTCTGTCTCAGCCTTCCGAGTGTTGGGACTATACTACCATGCCTGGGTACCCTTAATGATGTATGCAGTCAGAAAATCAATACTATCCCTTTTCTCCCTTCCCCCACTCAAGAACACCTGGGGGCAAACACATGATAACGTGCAGTAAGTAGAAAGAGGTTATTTTAAGTATGGGTTGAGTATAGGAATTATTATTCTAGAATGTGGATATTCTTAGGGCCCTGATTATTAGAGGTGTTCTATTCTTGGAGAGTTTTCTCCAGAAAGCAAGGCTTTTCTGAAAATTTTCTGCCAACCTATAAACACAAACACACGCACACGCGCGTGCACACACACAAGGACACACACACATACGCACAAACAATGGATATTTTCAAAGTCAACCAAAGGTAAACATATTTGGGAAAGTTCCATGAAACCTGAACAAACACACAGAGTATGAGTCACAGGAAGCAGCTGAGGAAAAGGAAGCACCTCTGTATCAGAAAGCAGATGCTCTCCCTCTCAGACAAACCCAAACCAGGACAGAGAGGAGTGGCTTTGCACTCCAGGCCACTAATTATTTTTCCTAGTTTTGGGGTCAGGACAAAGCAAACATTTGGGGATCAAAACATTGTGGAAAATTTAAAAACAGAAAAAAAATTAACTCAGTGCAAACTGCAGCTGTTCTCAGTGCTCATACAGGCTTCCTGTGAGTCTCTGGGACTGGGGCACAGGACTGTGCTGTGTCTAACCTGTGACCTTCGGCGTCTTCTAGGAAGAACCACAACCCTTTTGGTTGAAGAAAATGTTAGACTCAGGCAATACTAGCTGAATGGTGGACTTTCAAAACTGATTTAATTACAAAAGAGAGATTACACCGGGGGATGGCTTGCTGCTCTCAAAAAGTTATGGGCCAAAAAAGACAGAAGAGAAACTTACTTTTTGCTCTTTGAATTAAACCCATATTCCTTTTCGGAACTCATAAACATGTATCCTTCACTGTTGTCAGTGCTCTACACTCAATGCTTCTTCTATCAGAGTGACAGCCGCAGGGCTGGCAAGATGGCTGAATGGGCAAGAGGGCTCGCCACTAAGTTTGATGACCTGAGTTCTAGTGCTAAAATCCACATGGTAGAAGGAAAGAACCAACTCCCACAAGTTGTCCCAAGACTTCCACATGTGCTTTGTGGCACGCATGCATCCAAAACACATGTAATAAATAAATGTAATTTAAAAAAATGAAGTCCAGAGAATCTGCGTATGAGAGAAAGACTGATGTTTGCTTCATGGTAATTTTCATTTAATGCTTTGCATTTAAAAAAAAAATCACAGAACATAAAGTTTAAAATCTCAGCTCTTTAGCCAGGCATGGTGGTGAACACCTTTAATCCCAGTATTTGGGAAGCTGAGACAGGAGGATTTCTATGAGTTCAAGGCCATCATAGTGTACATGGAGAGAGTTCTGGGACAGTCAAAGCTACATAGTAAAACCATCCTGTCTCAAACAGACAAACAAACACACACAAAACAAAAAATAAATAAAACTCCAAATAAAACAACTCAGCTGTTTGTACAGAGCGGTGTACAAAATTGGTATCACTTCCAAAGACCTTGCATTTCTCTTTTCTATCCCCAAGTAAACACGACCCACAGCTAGAGGCCTTGTTTTAGGAGCTTTGGAAAATTGGGCTTCTCCCTGACACTGCAAGGGTGTGAGTAAACAAGCTGATATATACTGTCCCTGTGGCTGCAACACCAAACAGGACAGGGATAGTCACACCACCACTCCAGGAGGTTCTTCTGAATGCAAAACACAGCACCAAATAGACAGAGCTGACCGTCATTCTCCCTTGTACTGAAGGCTCACAGATCCACTCTTCCACGAGGCATGATACATGTATGTTACCACACACGGTGCACAATGAAAGCAGTACTACAGAACGCCTCACAAATGTCTTGATCAAGAAACTGGCCTCTGCCTCTAGTGAGCAAGCAGCTGGAAAAACTAAGAAAGAAATTGGCTTTTCACTGCAATCTCTCTTTTTTTAAAATTTTATCCCATGTGTGAATTATCCATTCAAACAACATTAAAAAAACATCACATACCCATAATTGCGTTTTGTTTGGGTTTTGTTTTGTTTTAAGTGTTCTAGAACTACAGCTGTGGGAGAAGCTTTGGGACAGGGCAATTGTGCAACATCAATACCTGGCAGAGGAGCCAAATTCCTTGTCTTCTACGTAAGCTACTGACCCAATTCTTGATGAATTGCAATACAAACTGAAGCTCACATGAGAAAGGCATTGGGGGGGTTCCCAGTGAGCGACCCTCCACTCTGCCTCTTACCATCCCTGCCATCATCATGTCCCGGTCGGCCTCCTTTTGCTTCTCCTTCAGCTCGTTCTCTGCTTCCTCTAGCTGCCTCAACATGCCGTTCACCTCATTATCCAGATCTGTAACTTCCGCGAAGGTTCTTTCTGCGTCCGCCTTGGTACTGGTGGCATTCTGGGTAGAGAAGAAGCAATTGCTCATAGAGGCAAGCCGAAGATCATAGAGCAGACTTCCCTGTTCTAGAGCACACTCCTACTGCCTTTTAAAATCTGTAAAACGGCTCAGGGTGTCGCCAGCCAGAGCGTACATACATCATGTGACTCAACTCTCATTTATTAGGTTTTCACTTAAAAAAAAAATCATTGTCAAACACAACCCATTTTATACAGCTTTCTCATCTGTGCTCTCTACTCTTTAGACTTTTCTGTCCTATTATAACCATGTTTAGCTGAGGTCACACACAGAGAACAACTAAGAATTTAACTGTGAACACTTTCCAACACACTGTAGTGATTACGCTCTCCCACTTGGATGTATGTTAAGTTCAAAGGCAGCCTGACCATTCTTGTGAGTGTAGCATCATGTACAAAAGACCACATCCTGAAATGGGAGCGTCTTATAAAACAGAACCTATTTAAAACCAACCCTTGTAAAGAAATTTTTTTGTGATTCTCAGACAATTTTAAAACATGCTCTAATCTTTCCTTAAAATAAGTAAGATGAATCTTTAAATAAAAAGAGCCGGCCTGAAGAAATGCCGCTTTACAGTGAAGAGTGTCAGCAGTGCTGGCCCCAGCAGCTCTACGGAGGGTCTGGAGAATGCTTAACGTAGGAGAGGACAGGAACTTTTGTGGGTGGGGACTCTGACGTAAAGACCATCCTCTTCGCAGCTCAGTCGGACACAAAGACAGTAGAAAGTCTTTTTCTTGACTCTCTTCCTTCAGTCAGTGTACTTACAAATAGTCTCATTAGTATTGGAAAGAAAGGAAACAGACAAGGATGGTTCCAGAGAGTTCTGTGTGCGAGAAGGGGCTAGAGAAGAGGGAAGGGCTCACCTTCTGCACAGCGCTGGCAATCCTCTCCGCCTCATGGGCTTTGTTCTTGGCCTCAGTGGCATCAGCTGCCGCATTGCCCAGCGCCAGCTGTGCCTCCCTTGTCTTCTCATTGGCTTCAGCTATGGTCCGGTTGATGGCGGGAATTCTCCTAAGAGCTTCTTCCGCAGCAGTCTTGTTATCGTTCACGCGTCTATCAAAATCTAAAAGGAGTGCAAAATATGCATTTGAATTAAACTGCCGAGAGAAAAAAAAACCTTTCACAAAACTGCAATTGGATTTTGTTTTATAATAGATAAAAATCTTTTTTTTTTTTTAAAGAATGACCACTGGGGGCGAAATCTCAGATGAGGAGGAAAACAGCCCCCTGCAGAAGGTTTTCCAGGTCAAATGCACATCTGTTTCTGAGAAGGGTTCTACTTGAGAAGTCACTTCCATGCAGAGCCCCAAGCATGGGACTGTTGTAGCCAGTGTCTTTAGTGTCAACTGTGTGTAAGGCAGCATGACACTCTTCTTATAAATGAGAAAACCAGCTACTGAAGAGGCTAGCTCACTGAGCAGGGCCACAGACAGGCCGGCTGACACCAAAGCTCCCACTGGCGGCTAGTATGCCTGCCAATCCTCCTCATTGACATTTATAGAAGCTGTGATTACTTTGATCAGACATGAATCAGCCCCTCAGTGGATTGGACATGTTTCTTTAAAATGAAGAATTAGGTATCAGAGTCAGAGAAAATGAAAGATAATCTCCATATATCATTGAAAGTCAGCTGAGCAGGCGGACTATGGTGGCTCATTGAAGGCCACCCTCCCACTCGTGGCTTTTGGTCTTCAGTGAAGAGTGAAGGAGCGAGAAGACAGAGGCACCCTGATTTTTCTGTCAAATACATCAGTTCCAGGTTTGGTGAGAGATCCTGCCTCAATAAATAAAAGTGGAGAGCCAGCAAAGAAAATCCCTGAAGTCTGATTTCAGGTCTACACACACACATGTGCACATACCCACACATACAAACATACATACACACACATGCATGCAAACACGCGCGCGCGCACACACACACACACACACACACACGTGGAGGATGAAGTAAAGATGGTAAAAGGTTAACTACTGCATCTAAATAGTCTGTGGGAATTACCACACTATTTGTTCCAAGAGAATTGTGCTAAGAACAAAAGGGAAAAGTAAATGGTGACCGCCTCTGCGGAGGGCATGCAGAAGGAGCTGCAGGACCCCATACCTTTCAGGTTGTTGAGAATGTCATTGGCTTCTTGTAAGGTATTCCGTCCCTTTTTAGCAGCTTCCTCAGCAAGAGCCTTGGCAGCGTCAGCTCGAGCTAGGAGTTGGTCGGCAGTCTGCAAATGCATGGCAGGTCAGAGGACAAACCTTCCTGGGTCACCTTTCCCACTCACAGACAAGACCCTTACAGCCCCAGCCCAGAGACTGAAGCGGACAGGGAGGCCATGTGCTAGACACGCTGGGCTCCCACCTGAGCAGTTTAAATTGTCACCTCAAGAATCACAGCCAGCATCAAATCAACTAACCTGCTGTTCAGCTTTTCCCTTCTCTAGAAGGTTCTTTACTTCATGTTCCTTTCCCCTCATGTCTTCCCTGAGGTCCTCATAATCCTTTAGCTTCTGGTCAATCACACGGTCCAGATCTGCAGCTTCTTTCTTGATTTTATTTGCTTCATTCTGTGACGAACATGGAAGGTCATTACTTTTAATCAAAATGATGACAGTGAATGACAAGGTATCGTAGGAACTCTTAAGATTTAGGGCTCCATTGACAGTTTTAAAAGATAGCAGGTGGCAAAATTTTGTGGAGTTTTTTTTTTTTTAAACCAGGCATACTTTAGTAATTTTCTAGTGTTTCCTGTACTTTGATGAATACATAGCTATATAAGGCAAACCAATGCATGCGTGCTGTTAGCAAAGAATAGTGAAGCAAAACAAACCAGTGCCCAGTGCTTGTCTCCCACTGTCTATGGGGGTCATAGTTATACTCCTTCACCAAACGTCCTTTCACCTGTGTCTGCTTCAGGAAAACATTCTTTCACGTGTCTGCTTTAGCAAGACATCCTTTCACCTGTGTGCCCCAGCAGACCAACATTTGACATAACTAACTTTCCAAGAAACAAGAAGTTTCCGCTTCATCATTCTAACCATGGCTTCTCAAACAAAGCCTCCATGGCCATATGTTTAACACTAAACTTGAAATGAACGTCTTATTTCCTATATCTGAGGTGCCAACTGGTATCACAAGGTTGAGGTCCCTTCAGACACCTGATGCCTTCTGAGTCCATCTGTATGGAGTGTGAAAAGATATAAGACTGAGCTGGTGGTAGTGGTGGCAGTCGGGGATGTAGTGGGGGCAGCTGCAGGAGGGAGAGATAGGGGACCCCAAGGAGCTAGCTTCTTGCTCTCTAGGTATCTGTTACACAATGCCTAAGAGGTAGGCTCTAGCCATACTGTGCTTCAAGTAACTGGGCCATATCACAGTTTGCATTTACATGGGACATCTAGACCAGTATTCATATCACCAAGTAATCTTTGCTCCTTCACATCTGTACTTCTTTATTTCATTAAGTTCTATTTGGGTAATTAAAAGTAGAACTCGTCTTTACCAGTGAGTGAGGTGTAGGTCTGGAAGGGAGAGGCAGGGCACTGTCAAAATGGCTCTTCCTCAGACTAGACGGACAGGGGTGTGATGGGATCCCAGTGACCAGAGCCTCTGCACACATACCTCCAGTGCCTCCGAGTCCACAGGGGTCAGCTGGGCCACACTGGCATAGATCTCTACAGCTTTGTCACCTGCTCGCTTGGCTTCCTCATGGACTCTGGCAGCCTGCTTCTCCAGGTCCTGAGAGATGTTCTTTGCTTGTTCATACCTAAGAAACAAATGATGGGATTCAATTTTTAAAAAGCTGGGGTTTTTTTTTGTTTATTTTGTTTTTTACATCTTAATATTAACCAGAAACAATCTAGTCACTATCACTGGGACAACATCTCTAAACACCTCAAAGGAAATGTACCAAAGCTCTTATTCTGATAGCAACACTTAGTTAAAAGTTACATCTCATTTTTTCAATTCTATTTAGCTTACTGTATATAGACTGGTTATCTCTAACCCCAAATTCCAAGCCTGTAACCTTTTTAGCACTACTGTAAGACCACAGGAGGAGAATTTCACACCTGATCCCATGTGACGGCTGCTATCAAACCGCAGACACACTACTAATACTACGTACCGTTTTAGGCTATGTATATGGGAACATAAATGAACTTTGTGTTTAGACTTGAATCTAATCCATAATCTCATTATGTATTCAAACGTTCAAAAAATATGTCTCGTAAGTCCCGACCACTTCTGGTCCCTAACCTTTCAGATTAGGGTTATTCAATTTACACATTCTCCCTGGGGAAATGTTGGCAGCTCAGCGCACTTTCTCCACGCCACTGGAATTTCCTCTCTCCAGTTTCCACATATGAAGAATCTTAAGTACATGACTAGTCTGGTTACCGTCTTGTGCAGTTACAGGGCTTGGGGGGGCGGTAGCCCCCTCCCCAATCACACTACCACTCTGAAAGCATGATGTGCAGCCACAGCACTTGATGAACCTCATGCACATGAGGAGAACCCCCAAATCATCAGCACCCGATTCTTCGAAGAACAGGACTGTGCCACTTTCCAATTACACTCACTTCCGGTTAAGCTCTTCAATCTCCAACGCAGTTTGATTTTCTCCTGCCAGGGTCTTCAAAAGCAGATTATACGCCTCAGTTGATGTCTCGTTGGCTGTCTTTGCCACTCGTACAATGTCATCAGCTTCCTGTTTATGACTGTACGTGTAGGAGGAAAAAAAAAACACACATGAAACAGACCACTCAAAAGGGAAAAAAGTAACATTTAGGTAACATTTACTTTGTTATATTTGCATGTACTAATATAGACAGAGATCTAGGAATACTGCAAAGTCCCATTTGGAGCTTCAAAATCATTTCAGGCACCTGAATTTACAAAAAGCATCTGTAAACTGAGAAAAGAGTATTTTCTAAGAAAATCAGTGGCACAAAACTCTACAGGGACAAATTTGTGTTTTCTTAGAAAAACCGCCTTTTGGTTGAGAATGCTGTGGTAGCTTCTACCCATATCCCTAGCACTGAGGCAGGGGGATTAGAGTTCTAGGCCAGATGAGTTATGAAGTAAAACTGTCTCAGAGTACAGAGAGGGGATAAAAGGAAGCAGGCAACTAACTTTAGAATATGAGTAATTTAGCATGGTGCTAGCCAGAAACCATGTATCTAGTCAGCAACACAACAAACCCTGGCCCTGATCTTTACCATAAAGTCTTCTGGTCTACACGGTTACTGTATGGTCTCTACAGAGTCACTATATAGTTGTCACTATATAGTACACAGTCTCTACATAGTTACTACACAGCTGCTTCACAG